GATTGAGCATTCTATGCAGCTAGTCTTGGCAAGCTGACTATAAAAGATACCTTCTCTTATTGTGTCCTTCGTGGATTTTGCAAGCTGATATCCGACAAACAGTATCTAAATGTGCAGCTTCGCTGGATTGTGCGCATCAGTGGTTTACGTCACAAGGTCACCATTACGTAGTTACCACAGACAGTGACAATGCTCATCACCCAAGTCTTGCCCTGCTAGATGAGTGAATATCGATATCACTCCACAGGTATGTTGAGAATGATAATAGGCAGTGAGGGAGTGTGAGTGAGTTACGTCTTTACGTCGCATTGGTATTATTTCAGCCCTATAGCAGGGAGACCAAATTTACACATAGATACGTCCATAATTAAAGTCACACTCAAAAGCAAGTTTGTTTATACACATCTGAACGACATAAGTATATATGACATGGGATTGTGTGCTTATGCATAACGTTATACGCTCAATCTTAAAAATGACATCAACCGACGACAGAGCGGTCATACACGTATAAAGATAAGGGGGCATAACTCCGCTATGCTTAAACTAGGTCAATGTAACTCAGATCACTTGGAGAGAATTTGTTGTGAATACGAATGCCACATTTTCGTTATGTTTTGTTCACCATGAACCAAAATATTCCAATACAAAATTTCCCAGTGTGAGCGGATACGTTTTGGTAGTTTCACAATTTATAAGAAAAGATGACAACATACTACACGAGAAAACACGTAATAGCGATTTGGATGGCCTTATCCGATATGTAAATTAATTCTTAGATTCCCATATTCTCCTGTTCGTGTAGATGCATTTTGACTATGTTTGCATCATTATTAACAGAGTACCAGCCCTATGTAAACTATTTAGTGTCAGGTTGAGAATCAACACGCATCTCAAGCAGATAACTTGTAACATATTGCTCTGGCAACGTCAGTGAAGATACATTTAAATCTGTGTTACAACTGCATTGCTGGTGTGTTGCCTACAAAGGAAAACTTTGGTTTCACACTGAACTCTTTTGAAGATGAAGATCGACACATAATAACTTATACTCGATCTGAACGGAAACAATGTAAACCAATCTCAACATTGTTCCACGGCCATATTACACAGTTTGCAAGAGGCCTTCCTTGTTTCAATGAGTGAGTGAGTGAGTGAGTGAGTGAGTGAGTGAGTGAGTGAGTGAGTGAGTGAGTGAGTGAGTGAGTGAGTGAGTGAGTGAGTGAGTGAGTGAGTGAGTGAATGTGAGTGTGTGAGTCTTGATTAACGACTTTGGTCTTCAGCATGCCATGCATATTAGAGGCAACTAACAGAATCTGGTGGTCAGACGATCGTCACAAAGAACAAACAAATATTAACGTAACGTCATTTATTTGTTCAACTGTTCACAGTTCCTTGATCGAATCTCACCCAAATTGAATCTCTCTAATAAATTCATCAAGACAATGCTCTTCGGCATAGTTGTAAAGTTACCTATGACACCCAAATCGTAAAATATTGATATTTCTATGGACAATCAGAAATATTTTTTATGGATATACAACTTCTTTATTCTATGTAAACTGTGTACTTATTTTAATGACAGCTTGTTAAACAACTTTTTCTATTTTTAGGACATAAATTCTGCAAAAATATCACAGAGTTGGTCTGTTGTTTTGATTATGATCTGTGTTTCATTGAGTATTATATGCTTAGTAGTTTTCGAGTTAGATTGCAGCCCTTACATTATTTATATTTTTCAGATATAATTATTAATACCCTTGACCAATAAATTCAACATTAAACATCCCAGGACCTTACCTCTACAGACATGTTTTGCATGAAAATCATTGTTTATTTTAAAATGAGCAAGTATCATCATAAAATCAATTATTTTGTCGTTTTTATGAGTCAAAGGATCATACAGGTCGGAAAAACTGCATCGTATTTCCATCGTGGTCACCACGAAGTTTTATATAAGTGTTGAAAACCTGTCATTGCAAAATTATAGGGGTGCTTAATTAAGTTCTTTGTGTGTATAAATACCCTTGCCCCTTTAGCCAAAATCGTTCCGTTTTGAGCCTGATTCAAAAGCATCGACACCAGACCAACGCCCATATAACACTATTCCCTGAAGCAATCGATATACTGTGCTAAGAGACAGATTTCGTTGGTGACGTCACTTTCTAAATGTCTAAGGTATGACGGTAATTGGTCGAGGATATTTACCTGTTTAATTGGCATTTTAGAAGTTCATAAATAATAAGAAAAGTATATTACTTTATGGATAATAACGTCTTTATGTTATTATGATGCGACATTTCGGTATAGCTTCAAAGCTATAACGAAAGCTATACCGAAAGCTATTGTTATATCCATAAGTTGTTATCTATAAAAGTATTATACTTTTCTTATGAGGATATTTACCATAATATTACTAAGGCAGGGTTGATCATGGAGGGGAAAATAATGCCCTTTCACGGTGGATACATTTGTGAAACCATTAGAAAATCTTGATGCTTTTATCGTGATGTTTCCTGTGTACGATATCAAACAAATAAAACAAATCGTAGATTGTAATGAAATGAAATGGTAAATGGTTTCTGGTAAATGTTTCAGGTACATTCTGAGTAATGATGAGTAGCATGGCAATCGTTCTGTTCATCACCACGTCAAGTGTTTAAACACTTGCAGCACCCGTCAATTGCGAACCAGGACACCCCGTATTCCGATCCGGTCATCCACACTCCAGTCACGTAAGTTGTTTTTACTGAGCACACGCAGATGTCGCATCCATTTGCTTGTCTGTAACATGGATGGGTCGTGATTTAGTTTTGTAGAATGAGTGAGTGAGTTTTTGTTTTACGCCGCTTTTAGCAATATTCCAGCAATATCACGGCGGGGATACCAAAAATGGGCTTCACACATTGTACCCATGTGGGCAATCGAACCCGGGTCTTCGGTGTGACGAGCGAACGCTTTAACCACTAGGCTACCCCACCGCCTCTAGTTTTGTTGAAGGCATCACATGACAGTTAGAGGACATCAGATGTTACTGGCACTACTTATGTCCTTGCGTTGACATCAGAACTAATGAATTGTAAGTGGAATCATGAGCTTTTAAAGGGTGTTTAATACCTTAATTTCCTCCATTACACGTGCTACCATTGTGTGACCTGCAGTGGAGAGGCGGTGGTGTAGCCTAGTGGTTAAACCGTTTGCTCGTCACGCCGAAGGCCAGGATCGATTCCCACATGGGTACAATGTGTGAAGCCCATTTCTGGTGTCCCCTGCCGTGATATTGCTGGAATATTGCTAAAAGCGGGGTAAAACCATACTCACTCACTGACATACAGTGGTGTGTAACCCTACGATTCCTAATATCCCACAATAATCACCTGTAAAGACATTCTCAATATTTCAAGGGTGTAAAATATTTCGCCAGTACTTCTCTTGTGTACACGCTACGATTCCAAATACCTAGAATTCATCATGGAATATATCGTCCGTTCTTCACGGGTGTTGAATACATCGTCCGTTATTTACGGGTTTTAATAAAATCTTCAGTATTTCACGGTTGTTGAATACATCCTCTGTACGTCACAGGTGTTGAACACGTCGTCTGTACTTTACGGGTGTTGAATACATCGTCTGTTTCTTAATGGGTGTTGAATACATCGTCACTACATCACGGGTGTTAAATACATTGTCCCTACTTTACGGGTGATAAATAAATCGTCACTACGTCACGGGTGTTTTTTCGTCTGTACTGTATGGGTGTTGAATACGTCATCCGTACATCACGGGTGTTGAATACATCGTCTGTACTTTACGGGTGTTAAAAACATCGTCACTACGTCATTGGTGTTGAATACATCGTCTGTACTTTACGGGTGTTGAATACATCGTCACTACGTCATGGGTTTTGAATACATCGTCTGTACTTTTTGGGTGTTAAATATCCCATACGTACATCACGGTAGTTGAACACATCGTCAGTACGTCACAGGTGTTGAACACATCGTCTGTACTTTACGGGTGTTGAATACATCGTCCATTTCTTTACGCGTGTTAAATACATCGTCTGTACTTAACGGGTGTTGAATACATCGTCACGGGTGTTGAATACGTAGTCTGTACATCACAGGTGTTGAATACATCGTCAGTACTTTACGGGTGTTGAATACATCGTCACTACGTCACGGTTGTTGAATACATAGTCCGTACGTCACGGGTGTTAAATACATCGTCAGTACGTTACGGGTGTTGAATACATCGTCTGTACTTCCCTTTATAGATGTTAAATATTGGAGGATATTGTCTTCACGAAGCATTAACCTGAATCCATCAGAGCGTGTTCACTGGGCTAACTTACTCAAGCGTGCTGATATTCAGACAAGAGGAACAATTTGGCCTTCTCTTACTGTATTGTACATACTTGCATGATTCTGTACGGAAGAACTGCTTCGCTTCTACGCCTACTTCATCCTCAAAGACAGCCATTGTCCTGTTAATATTGCCTATATCCACCCAGTACTGGGGCGAGGATGTAGGAGGCCTCCTACAAGATACACATAGGTGTTAAGATAAGGAGAGAATATACGAAAATCGTAGGAACAAATTTCAAGATAGAATTAAAATATATTTGAATTTAGAGATAAATAATAATGTGCGTAAGAGGCAGCATTGGGCTATTTAAAAACAACAACCCCAAACAAAACAAAAAGCTCTCAAGGCACAAAATAGTATGTTTCAGTGCTCATTCAAGAAATATACTCTTTCACAAACCGAAATGTGAGGCATCCAAAAATATTTTCAGTATGGACCTCGGCTTTCATATTATCACTGTGGGAGATGATAGATGGCGTCATTTGACGGAGAGTTTCAGCTCAACGGAGACTGGACTACTGACGACGGGCAACGCTTCTTGACAAAACACCTACTGATATGATACTGTCTCCAGCCTAAACCCCCTTGCATCAGTCGACATGATCGCAAACCACGAAAGCAATATCTGCAAGATGCACCCAGATTCCATACCAAGGTTGCTATGTGACGGACAGCAACAGGAAAAGAAACAGAGGACGTCCAAAGGAGACATGGAGAATTCGAAGATCTGTGGAGGCAGAGATGAAGGACGCAGGTTGGACCTGACAGGTGCAGCAATGGGCCCAGGATAGACAGCGTTGGAAAACTCTAGTAACGGCCTTATGTGCCAAGAGCACGAAGAGGATTAAGTAAATAAGTAAGTAATGTCTGCTTGTATGGTTTTAAGTGAGTTCAACAATTGTGTGGGTTGTATGATGGTTGACAACGTATTACGAAGTATAACCCTATATATGTAATTATTAGAAATAACACGCTAAATAGGAGTAACCATTGTACTAAATAAAAGCGACAAAACCCTTTCCACATCCATACGAAATCTCTGCTAAAATCAGAATCGATTTTACAATTGTGACTATATCATGAGTATATATATGTTTTTCAGCAGTATAAGAGCTGTACGATGTTGTTTGTAAGCACACCGAGTCTGGACCAGACAATCCATTGAAAAGGTTGAAAGTTTTCCTGGAACATGTACATTAATGTATTTGGTTAATGATCTGGCAGTCGGACAGAAACTAGAGTCAAAATAGTTCAAATTGAAACTTGTTTTCAGACGATGATTGGCAGTAACTAAGGATGGTATTATGATAATTTTGACAATTGGTGGCATATGGAATTCGCAAGATTTGAGGTTGCATCCTGAGATGTCAGTCAATTTGTCCTTCATAGTCAGAGGAGTTTAACCTCGTGTTTAAAATGTTCGTTAGCCAGAATGCAGGACCGGGTTCGATTTCCTTAATAGAATAACGCTGAAAGCAATATCAATTCATCAAACCACATTCACCCTATCTTCATTCCCATCAATCTGAAACAAGCACGACTTCTCTATTGAACGGTGAATTATTCTTCCAACAATTTGTAGAGATTCTCGATGGCCAACGTGGACTCAGTATCCTAAACATAAACGTGTTAGGTAATAGATTTTCCTACTTTACCACTTATACCTACACTTATACAACCCAAGGTACAATGTACAGTTTGTATCTTAAGGCTTTGTCTTGTTGAGAAATCCAGTCATTCTTACATGAATGGGGTACGTCGATGTTTCGACTGAGCGTTACACATTTAGTGTGTATGTGTGTTCTATTCAATCGTCTATCTCTTAACAATTTTCCATGAAATATCATGTGTTTGACTTTTTGGAGTCAGTTGAGCGAAATATGGTGGTGTGTGGTCCTATGCATAGAGATCAGGTCACAAATCAGTTGAAGTTATAGTCCGTTTGGCTCAAAGCGGACATATGAATTGCAATCTAACTCGAAAACTGATAAACATGTTATACTCAGTAAAACGCAGAATTTATGTCCTGAAAATAAAAGTCGTTTAACAAACTATCATTAACATTTTGACACAGTTCACTATTTGTTACGAGGAGGAGTGCAAAGACTGGAACAACCAGGTGTACGCGAAGCACCTGCACAAGTGCCGAAGAAGCTATTGATTCATTTACCTGAGCTGTACCGTATCCATCCTTTCTCGCACACCTGGCTGTGCCTCTCTCTGCATTCCTCCATCGTACCAAATAGTGAACTGTGTAAATACTTTTATGATTGTTTGTTAAACAACTTTTTGATTTTTAGGACATAAGTCTGCTAAAACTCACAGAAGTTGGTCTAATGTTTTATTATGATAAGCGTTTCATTGAGTATTACATGTTTATCAGTTTCGATGGAGATCATAATTCATCGGTCCGCTTTTTTGAGCCAAACGGACTATAAGCACTCGTTGATCGCGGAGAGTCTTTGGATGGGTGACCGTGTTTGGCAGCTTGACTCCTGAGAGTTTGTAGGAGTTCAGTCCTGCCCAACAACGATCGACACAGGATAAATATGGTCCCACGTTAGGCAAGTTAAGTTTGTTCAAAATTGCCTCTGTTCACCCAGCAGAAAATGGGTACCGGATGAGATAAGTCATGTGACTATTAACCTTCTAGTGTCCCCACAGAAGTTTGGGTTATTCGGGGAAATAATAATCAGATTCTGATTACAGCAAACTGGTCAGATGAATACGAGGCGCTATATAAATGAATTATTATTATTATTAAAATATTGTTTCTGATTTATATACTCAATCATATGCATAAAATTCAGTTTACTGGGATTCAAGTATTAAGTCTCATATACTCGTTGTTGTGCAACAGGCGTTATGTTCTATTTCCTCCGCTGGGTTAATCGGCACAGAAGGTGAGGGAGAAGAGCTGAACACTGCTGGGACACGCTGCTCAGGGTCACATTAGGAAATGACGTCACTGGGGTTGAAGGACGATCAAGCTTCTCGAAAGCTGTCTGTTCCTCGGATACCGGAGTAGCCACCAGGAAACGTTCTCTTAAAGTTGGTTCCTTGATGGCTCGTAATTGTGTTCTGAGGAGGAAATAATATAGTGATTCATCACATGGGATCTTAGCGGACTGGCTTGTGAATATACATAAAACCTATACAACAAATAATCGGATTTGACAAAAATACAAAGTTATCAAAACGTCAGTTTATTTTTGATATTTAATGTACAGCTATGTCAAAGCTATATAAAAGAGTCTTGACTAGACAGTCGTGGAACTCGTATTGTGAGCTACTATCAAACCATTAAGGTATGACGACACATCTCATACACTTGGGTGAGGTGAGGTGAAATTGGGTTTTACGTCGTGCTTGAGAATATTTGGCTCATATGACGACGTGCATGCGTCTGTATGGGTATGTGCGGCTACTTGTACTAGCCAAGACTGAAGCTGGTTTTATAGTCTAACTAAATCACCGAGATACCATGCCGCAGTGAAGCAATGGGCCAAATTCCCACTCCAGCTACATTATACCGACTCCGGAGCCGACCGGTCCCTTTGTTGTACCCATTAATGCCGAGCGCCAATAAAGGCCAACAATGGCATATTTTAACGTCTTTTTGGTGGCATGGCCGGTGGGATCCAGCGAACCCGCGACCTTCCGCTCTCCGGGCGGACGTTCTAACTACTACACCACGGAAGGCGGTCTCCCAGCACAGGGTACTGTGGATCAGTCGATATTAAGACACCGCCGCCATATAGCTGGAATATTGCTGGAGTGCGGTAAACTCAACTCACTCACCGGTATTGCCCAGGACAGGGCGAAAATTGTACCAGTACAATAGCAAAATCCAATTTACGATATGGAAGACGTCTCTTGTGGTTCATCACAATTTTTGACATTAGTAGGTGAGTTTGGTTTCGCCGCGCTTTTAATAATCTTCCTTATTATCGGCGAAGTCACCGGGAATGGGCTTCTTCACATTATGCGTCTTGTGGGAATCGAACCCGGGTTTTAGTCGTGACGAGCTAATGCTTTAACCACTAGGCTACCCACCGCCTCCATTTGACATTAACTGCTGACAGGCTAAAAGCAGCACTTATGAGGATATAACACTTATGGTTGTGTGTCGACGTGGATAAAATTTATACTCAATTCCACCACTGGCTTCCATCCATCCACCCTCCTTTCCATTCCTTCCTTCCACCACCATTAACCTTCCTTCCTTCATCTATACCATTATAAAGCTGTCCACCATCGTCCATTCCACCATTCCATTCCCCACCATTTCTTTCCTTAACTCTTTCCACCTATTTCATCTTTCATTCCTCTTTCCTTCCTGTGTTCCTTAACTGTAAATCCTTTCATCCACTGTGTGTCCTTATTTATCCCTCTGTCCATCCACCTCCACAAGACATCTGTGTGTGTGTTCTCCACTGCTCCATTCCTTTCCTCCTTTCATGTTCCATTTTTCTGTGTCTGTGTCCTTCTCTCATTTCCATATTTCCTTCCATTCCTTTCCTTGGGTGTGTGTCTCATGTGTCATGTGTCCGTGCCATCCTGTGTCAGTGTGTGTCTCCACTTTTGTGTGTGTGTGTGTCCTTGTGTGCCTGTCAGTTCATTCCTTCTCTGTCCATGCCTGTCCAGTGTGTGTCTCGTTGGCTGTCATGTGTGTCTGTGGTCTGTCCATGTCTGTGTGTCTGTGTGCTGTGTCTCTGTGTGTGTGTGTGTTCCCATTCCATGTGTGGTGTCCCTGTTCTGTCAGGTCTGTGTGTCTGTGTTTGGCTAGGATCCATCCATCAGAACATAGTATTGCTTTTAAACCCCTTCATTCGTGTCTCTTTTTCTGTCTCTCTCCGTGGGATTCCAAGTCCTCCGTGTGTCCTGCCTGTCCTGTGGAACCTGTGACATGTCCTTTCAAATCATGTGTCCGATGTGGACTCTGTGTGGTCAGTCATCCGTCTGTGGCTTCCGTGTCCTTATGTCCTTATGTCTTCCTTGTCCTTATATCCATGTGCTCTGTTCCTCATTTCTTCCTCTTTTGTGTGTTCCTGTGTCATCCTGTCTGTGTGTGTCTGTGTGTGTGTCTGTGTCTGTGTGTCCATGTGTGTGTCTTTCTCATGGATGAATATGTATGTATGTGTGTGTGTATGTATGGATGTATGTATGTATGTATGTATGAATGTGTATGTATACATGTATGTATGTATGTATGTATGTATGTGTGGAGTATGTATGTATGTATGTATGTATGTATGGATGTGTGTGTGTGTATGTATGTATGTGTGTGTGTATGTATGTATGTATGGAATCTTATGTATGTATGTATGTATGTATGTGTGTGTGTGTATGTATGTATGTATGAGATGTGTGTATGTATGTGTATGTGTGTGTATGTATGTATGTATGTATGTATGTATGTATGTATGTATGTGTGTGTGTGTGTGTATGTATGAATGTGTGTATGTATGTATGTATGTGTGTGTATGTAATGTATGTATGTATGTACGTACGTGTGTATGTATGTATGTATGTATGTGTGTATGTATGTATGCATGTGTATGTGTAATATGCACCACTACCCTTTATACTGCCATATATGCACTGCTGCACTATATACTTATACCATACTTATATATACTTATATATATATATATACATGTACATCCATCCACCATCCATCCATCTCCATTACATTCACCACTTATTTATCTACTATTTTCATTTTAATCTATTTAACGTCTTCCTCCATGTCCTCCATCTCTCCTTCCCTCTCTCTCTCTCTCTCTCCTCCCCTCTCTCTCATGTCCTGTGTGGCTCCTCCTTTCTTCCTCCTTTTATCCTTGTCTTTCATTCCATGCACATACTGTTCCTCCATGCACCTTCTGCCAGTTCACAATGCCATCCATCCAATTCATCTCATATCAATCCATCTTTATATTTCTTGGCTCTGTGTGTCAGTTCGATTCTTTCTGTGCCTGGCTCTGTGGGGTTATCGTTGGTCTCTGTGGTCCTCCATATTTTTCTATTTTTGTCTGGGCATGTGTGTCCATTTGGTCTTCAGTGTGGCTCCTCCATGTGTTTATTTGTCCATTTCCTCCATTCCTTCCTTGGCAGTCTGGGCTTCCTCCTTGTGTGTCATCTATGTTATATGTCTCTGGCCATCCACTGTGTGGGATTCTCCATCCATCCATGTGTGTGTCTGTGTGTGGTCTGTGTGTCCTTCCTTCACCCTGTGGATCCATTCCAGTTATTCCTCTGCCCAGCCAGCTACTCCACTACCTACATGTAGCCAGCTACTCCACCACTCTGCCACCTACTCCACCACTCTGTTATCTACTCCACTACCCTGCCCGCTACTCCACTACCCCACTAGCTACTCCACCACCCCACCAGCTGCTCCACAACCCTACCATCTACTCCACTACCCCACCAGCCAATCCACAACCCCATCAGCTATTCCACAACCCCTTCAGCTATTTCACAACCCCACCAGCTACCCCACCACCCTACCAGCTACATCACCAGCCTACCAAATACTCCACCACCCAACCAGCTACTCCACCGACCCATCAGCTACTCCACCACACCACCAGCTATTCAACCAAATTACCAGCTACACCACCATCCCACCAGCTACTTCACCACCCCACCAGCTGCTCCAGCCCCCACCAGCTACTCCACAATCCCACCATCTACACCACTACCCCACCAGCTACTCCACCACCCCACCATCTACTCCACCACCCTACCAGTTACTCCACCGCCCCACCAGGTACTCCACCACCCCACCATCTACTCAACCATCCCAGCATCTACTTCACCACCCTACCAGCTACTCCACCACCCCACCAGCAACCCCACCACCCTACCAGCTACTCCACCATCCCAGCAGCTACCCCTACACCTCACCCGCTACCCAATCGCTCTGCCTAAATCTAGAACACTTCTAAATATAGCGTACAAGTACCCCCGACTGAATGTACAGGAACAGTGTGTTACAGTTAAATCATTGTAGCACAGGGTATAATACTGCCTCAAAACAACTCAAGTGCTGGGTAGACACGCACAAGACAGATGTAGATTGAAAGAAGAAACATTACCTGAATGGTGTAACCGCGCTGCTCAAGGACTGCTTGTGGAACCATCCGTATTTATTGGATCAAACAAGGAAGATGTGACATTGAGCCTTTCTTTTGATTGGCCATCGTGTTAGACTAACTATATTTGGAACGAGGAAGTTAAATTGAAACCGGATTCAAACCAGCTTTGAACAACCATACTTTGTTCTTTCTTTCTTTCCCAAGCAAAACAATCACAGAATCATCATTGTCCAATACTCACGATCTAACCCAAACGTATTGTCCATGTTAACCCTTACATAAAACAGACAAGATTGGCCATCGTGTTAGACTAACTATATTTGGAACGAGGAAGTTATATTGAAACCGGATTCAAACCAGCTTTGAACAACCATACTTTGTTCTTTCTTTCTTTCCCAAGCAAAACAATCACAGAATCATCATTGTCCAATACTCACGATCTAACCCAAACGTATTGTCCATGTTAACCCTTACATAAAACAGACAAGTATCTGTTTCCAAGGAATCCGGATGTGTCGCCATAATATGACCCAAACTGCTTATAGAAACATCTGATATCCTAATGGATGAAAAATCAACATTTTTGACGCTACCCCTCTCAGTAAACAATCCGAACAATCATCTCGGAACAACATTTGGTTGTCAAGAATAATTCATGTAATCATTATTTTAAATCCAGGTAACCGCCGCCATGTAGCTGGAATATTGCTGAGTGCGGCGTTAGCAACAACCAAACCAAACTAAGGTATGAAGGTGGTCTTTCTGGTCAAGAGAATATATTCAAAATGCAGGGCAAAATAAATGATACGCCTTTGTTTCAAGGTGGCTGAAATGAAGCAAAATTGTTATTCGTAGAAGATATATCTGATACTGGTAAAACATTTGTGTTTTGTTGGATGTTTCTAGCACAGTAATGTTACCATGACGTTTGTAGTCAAATCCAATTTCAGATGTGAATGAGAGAAAGACTGTATTCAATTGAACAATATCATGTTTGGGACCCATTACAACACCAACTTAGGTATGACATTTTAAAAAGAAATAGAATTAATTGAATGTTTTTTTTTATTAAACTACTCTGACACCCCGCCTCTCTGTTACCAAGTTACTCTGCTCTTTTACCACTACACTACCCAGCATGGTACTTACCATGAACCTTCAGTAACCCATGCTTGTCCTAAGAGGCGACTAACGGGATCGGCTGGTCAGGCTCGCTGGCTTGGTTGCCACATATCATCGGTTCCCAATTGCGTAGATCGATACGCATGCTGTTGATCACTGGATTGTCTGGTCCAGACTCGATTATTTACAGACCGCCGCCATATAGCTGGGCTATTGCTGAGTGCGGCGTAAAACTAAACTCACTCACTCACTCACTTAACTATCCAGATACGCCCTAGCCCACTTGCTTCTACAGTACAGTGCTCATGCTCCATGTGCTTCTCCTACCCAATACCAAGATTCTCGGCTCTTACCACATTTTAAATGTAGAATTTCTGTTATTTGAAAATTAGGCTAAATTTCCTACAATCGCCAGTGGCTGAAGGGATGATGTAAATCCAACTAGGGTCCATGCAGGTATCAAATGTACTGTAAGTCCCAATGGTCCCTAGCATGGTGACTAACCTTCAGTTGCTGGTGATCTCTAGCCCGTTTTTATATGTGGCATTGTTCATAAAATTTGTTTAATTTTACATTTACATGCTAGTTTTAATTCTTTGTCTGTGATAATCTATTTTTTTACTGTCCATCGTCGACAGGTTCTTTTATGATTTGATTGCATTTATTATGAATTTGTGATTTGTTAAAGTCACGATATGGCTGAAATATTGCCGATGTGACTATAAATCTTCACTCATTCACTCACTCAAGATTCTCGGCCTGTTGGTCGGGTACTCTGCCACCCTGGTACATTGCTACCAAGATACAAGGCTACACTGCTGTACCGCTACTCCACTATTGCGCTATCATGCTACCGTGGTACTCCGCTAAACAGATACCACTACCTCCCTACCCCCCACATTCCTTTCCTACCTTAACAAAATACTCAGCTACTCGCATACTCCCTGGGACTTCCACCCAGATACCCCGATAGTGAATATTGTTCGTGACTTCCCGAGATAAACTGACGTCGGAACATTATTCACGGTTTCTTGCACATGCCTCTTAAAAGAGCTGCAGTGTCAGTTAACGTATGACATGTCTTTACAACGTAATAACAATAATATTCTTGGTAAAGGAACACATCATACACAACGGGTACAGTCGTGCGTTTGGGGATTTCCCTCATTAAGATTGAGAATTCTATGCAGCTAGTCTTGGCCAGCTGACTATAAAAGATACCTTCTCTTATTGTGTCCTTCTTGGATTTTGCAAGCTGATATCCGACAAACATTATCTAAACGTGCAGCTTCGCTGGATTGTGCGCATCAGTGGTTTACGTCACAAGGTCACCATTACGTGTTTACCACAGACAGTGACAATGCTCATCACCCAAGTCTTGCCCTGCTAGATAGTGAATATCGATATCACTCACAGGTATGTTGAGAATGATAATAGGCAGTGAGGGAGTGTGAGTGAGTTACGTCTTTACGTCGCATTGGTATTATTTCAGCCCTATAGCAGGGAGACCAAATTTATACATAGATACGTCCATAATTAAAGTCACACTCAAAAGCAAGTTTGTTTATACACACTAACAACACTGTTTACAATTTGAAAGAAAGGGCTACATCATTACTATTCACAATCGAGATCACGGGCCAAAAGCCCATATTTAGACACACAGAGACACACACACACTCTCTCTCACACACACACACACACACACACACACATATATATATATATCTATAGTTTACGATACAGACAAGTTAATTATCAGATGACAGGTCACATGGACTAACAGATCTTTCAGGTTTACTTCAGGTTTGCTTGACAGTGAGCCATTCATCACATAGGAGGCTCGTCCTCATCCCCGTGAAGATCCGGGTTAGAACTGGTCTTCAGTAACCCATGCCTGTCGTAAGAGGCGACTATTCATCATATCCCAATTGCGTAGATCGCTGGTGTCTGCGTAATCCCCCAATGTCGGCTGTCGTCAAATTTGAAGACATTAGGGACAGGGTACAACAGTTCATGAGATATCGCGTTAACGAGAGTTTGAAAAGTGGTCAAAGTGGCGTGGTGACCTTGAAGATATGGTCAATAGAAGGCAGTTATACGTTGTGCAACAATGTTGCACCTATTGTCCAGTGTACCTGTAGAGTCAGTGACAGCCAGTAGTTATGAGGCAGTGCTTTTCGTTGTGCAACAATGTTGCACCTATTGTACAGTGTACCTGTAGAGACAGTGACGGCCAGTAGTAATGAGGCAGTGCTTTACGTTGTGCAACAATGTTGCACCTATTGTACAGTGTACCTGTAGAGACAGTGATGGGCAGTGGTGTGCTGTGTTCAGACGGATATGGGAATATCTAGCAACATATTTTTGTATATAGGAGGGGAGCAAGCTATTGCCTCCAGCGTTACCAGAAGCCCAGAAGCCCAACATTGTGTGTGATCATCATGTACCCTGGCTTACCTGAGTTGCAAGTTGTCCCCGTGAAGATCCGGATTAGAATTGATCTTCAGTAACCCATACATGTCGTAAGAGGCGAGTAACGGGATCGGGTGGTCAGGCTCGCTGACTTGGTTGACACCTGTCATCGTGTCCCAACTACGTAGATCGATGCTCTTACTGTTCATCACTGGATTGTCTGGTCCAGACTCGATTATTTACAGACCTCTGCCTTATAGCAGGAGTATTTCTGAACAACAAACCATAGTTGCAGACTAGATTACTGTTACTTAGAGGTGCATATTAGCACCATTGCCCTTGTAGCCTTGATCACTGGTCTTGTGTCATGCAGCCTCTGAACTTGAATGATACTCTATTTTCTTCTGCCACAGTGCTACCCTTGTATTAATGTGTATTGATTTGTAAACTTAGTTTATTGTTGAATACAATTGTTAATTCTTGCACATTTCTTTGTTGTTGCTTTCACGCAAAATTCCCTGGATACCGAGGGTTTTTTTTTCAGGCGCACATTTTCATAAGGTTTGAAAAGTGTACGTTGTGCGAGAATTGCCCTCGCGTGGTCCTGGATCTGCGTGCGGCTCTAAAATTACTCAGAAATGTAGAATATTAAATTTCCTATCCGTTGGTATAAATATAAGTGTAAATACATCCGCGGTTTGAGAAATAGACACTGCTAAATGTTCTCCAAAAAAGTGTATTATGCGTTAATTTCTCCGCTTATTTATCTTGCACCGAAAAAGCACTGTGCTACGATTGTTTTAATTTGGCGTCTTTACGAAAAGTGTGAGCAAAGAAAATACAGTATGATATCTGAACGACATAAGTATATATGACATGGGATTGTGTGCTTATGCATAACGTTATACGCTCAATCTTAAAAATGACATCAACCGACGACAGAGCGGTCATACACGTATAAAGATAAGGGGTATAACTCCGCTATGCTTAACACTAGGTCAATGTTACTCAGATCACTTGGAGAAATTTGTTGTGAATACGAACGCCACATTTTCGTTATGTTTTGTTCACCATGAACCAAAATATTCCAATACAAAATTTCCCAGTGTGAGCGGATACGTTTTGGTAGTTTCACAATTTATAAGAAAAGATGACAACATACTACACGAGAAAACACGTAATAGCGATTTGGATGGCCTTATCCGATATGTAAATTAATTCTTAGATTCCCATATTCCGCTGTTCGTGTAGATGCATTTTGACTATGTTTGCATCATTATTAACAGAGTACCAGCC